TTCTATTGGCTAAATCTGGTCACATAACCCCAGACATCTAGATGGCCCAGTTCCAACCCATGGAACACAGACGGAAGTGATGTGTGTCCCTTCCAACCTGGGAGTGCTTTCTCCATAGCATCTTGTCTTTCAACAACAGAACTGGGACCACGATGTTAACAATATGATGAAAAGAGGTCAATAATCAAAGGCGATTTACCTGATCAAGAAGGAATATCTACATGGAACATGATAAAGAGAATAAAATTTTGCGCTTGAAACTGCACTTTAGGGGCAATTCAACTACCCTGACCATATGGAAGAAGTTGAAAAAATATAAGCATATATATTCTTGGGATTCTGGATCACCTCAGAAAATGGAATAGGTACAAAGAAAGAAAAAAGCACAGCAACAGAAGCAGACAAACCCAGGAAGGATGAAATGAGTTTATTCCCTGCATCAGTTCCTCTGAAGTATCTGCTCTTAGAAAAATCAGTTTATATGTCTGAAGCAATGCAGACTAAGAGGAACAACTTGTTTACCTATATAATCACCACTTTTTAAAAAATTAAAAGTAGAAGATTACAAATAATCTTCACTGTACTGAAAAATGAGCAAACTGGAAGTGATAAGACGGCTATGTAGCATTTTTACAACAGTTAAATACTTTATCTGAAGACAACCTCATGAATAGGACTGGGCTGGAGAAACCCAGAGAAAGATTCGGGGGGAAAGGATGAAGGTAAAAAGAGGCGAAAAAGGGCCCTCCCTGGTGGCGCAGCACTGAGAATCTAAAGCCGCTTCCTCATGAGTTCGATTCCCGCCTGCCCCGGAGGTGACCACATGGCGTGGCAGACCTCTCCTGACCCGCCCGCTGCTCCCCTCAGCAGTGTATTTCGTTGATCTGCCTGTTCTGCACTCCACTCTGACTCTGGTGAATTCTCTCACCCTCCACATCTCTGGCCTGTATCCCAGTTCTGTATGCACAAATAAAATAAAATCTTTAAAAGAAGAAGAAGATTTAAGGCAAAAGAGTCAGAAATTAAAAATCGATTTTAAAAAGGAGCTGAAGGTTATGGGTCTATGGATAATTTTTAATATTTAAGTATTAGACATGGTTTAGAAAATGCTTTGAAGACCTAGGAAATATATTGATCTATTCATTTGTTTAATTCAACAAATATTTACTGAGCAACAACGGTATGCTGAGCACTGTAGCAGGCACCAGGGACAGAACCCAAAACAAGTTCTTTGAAGCTCAGTCTTAAATAGAAAATAAAGAATTCTAACATGCAGTTCCCTACCCCACTGCTCCTCTGAATAGTTACTGTTTAATTTTCTTTTATTCACAAATGCAGTCAAACCAGTGTACACAAAGAGCACTGTTGCCCTTGCATTATAACTCCATCTCCCTAAAATCTATGTTAGGGACAAACTGAAGAAAGAGAAAATTCCACATCTTTATCAGACCATGACAAAAATAGAGTGAAATAATTATTTCTAGGAAAATGAAATTACTTGTTATCACCACACATTAAATGGCCTTCCCAATTGTCCCCTGTTTAAGTCAGTAATAGCACTGGCTGCAGAACACACAATTTCTGACAATAGATAATACACTGAAAAAATTAGTCTCCTGTGTGCAAAATAACACTTTTATAACAATGGGAAATTCATGCCTGCTCTCTCTAGACCTTTGCAAAACAGAATACCAGTAAAGGCTAATTACATGAGCCAGTTGAAAATTGTGTATGTAATGGAAAGGCTTCCCCTAAAGAATAGATGAGGAAAGGTCTTAGCACCATATACAAAACAACAGGGGAAAAGTGAGAGCAGACACGTGAGCCTATGCACAGGCAGTCTCATTAGCACACTGCAGCGAGCCATTTTGTGGATGCACATAAAACAGTTGTAAAATTCGCTACCTTAGAATAAACACCTTGATTAAAGAATTTTTCCCTGTGTTGACTCAAGTGCTTTTCTCCAAGGTGCCGCTCTGGATTGTCTGTACACTGAAGACTTCTGATGCTTTGAGGGAGCAAAAGATAGTCTACCGCAGGAGCAAGCTGAAGGCAACTTTATACACTGATAGACACCCTGGGCAAGGAATTCAACCACCTTTCCTAGGGGACTGTGCAGTAACATTGATTTTTCCCAATTCTACTTTTCAAGATTCAAATTCTACTTTTCAGGTGTCACGTGTTGTACGCATGGGAAGGCACTTTAAGAGATTTGGAATTTGAGTCCCTCCAGAAGTTTCAGAAACAGTCTCATAACAGCCACTCCAACAAACACTCCAACAAACAGATAAGCAAAACAAAATAAAAATAAACTTCAGCAAGACCAAAAAAGATGTGCTGGGCCATCTATAATGCATGAGCTACATAAAGTCCCACCCCAAATTCAATGAGCTTATCCTGCAAGGAGAGAAGACTTGGGCATGTTCATCACAGCTGATCTGTGGTAAGCTGGGGTGAAATGATGACCCACTCACACTGTGTCAGTTAAGAAGAGCTCACAGAGGGGACGCTAAGAACAAAATAGTGTTCACCAGAATGGAAAGGGAAAGAGGGTGGGGCAAGTTGAGGGAAAGAGCTCAACTCTCTGGTGGTGGGTGAAAACCAGACTTCGGGTGGCCAACATGATGTAGTACACACAGATGTTGATTTATCAGTTAGAGTCTATGTAGTTATGAATAATGTTACTTTAATTAAAGAAAGTAAGTTCAATTCAAAGAAAAGAAAAGAACTTTCACCAAAAGCCTGGGCAGATGTAGGGAAGTCCAAGCACAATACCAGGGGACTGTCAACAACTTATGATGAAGTTGAAGGGTCTAATAGAGGAATTTTGGGAGTGTGAGACCTAGCAAAGGTCACAGCCTTCACTCAGGAATGTACCATCTTCTCCCGGATTAAGGAACTATTAAGTCTGCAGCAATACCATAAGAAAAAAAGCTCTTGATCCTTCCTCCCTCTTTCTGGTTTCTTTTTTTTTGTTTGTTTTTTCTGAGTTTAAAAAAAAAAAAAGGTAGTACTACCTTGTAGATTGGCTCCCCAGGGCCAAGACAGACACACAGACACAGACTAAACAGTAGTAAAAGGAAGGAAGGAGAGAGGTAGACAGGGTGGGTGAAGGGCAGGCACACAGCATGGAAATCTCTCCATGAATCTTTGGGCCCATCAATTGGAATTTAAGATAAAGGAAACAAAAATTTCAATAGGGCTATCCTTTTGTAATAAACTGAACTAACCCACAGGATTGGATTGTCAAACCAGATTAACTCAAATCAGAGGCTTTACGCATCGTTAGGCTTTCCTAATGATAGTAAGGATTTAAGCAGGCCAAGAGGATCAGCAGAAAGAGGCCTGAGAGATCAAGGGTGGCCAACCTGTGGCCCTGCACTGGACATGCACCCATGGCTCAGAACAGTAGGGGAGGTCTCTGAGTGAGGTCTGTGTGGGTCCTGACACACCTGGCACATTTAAAGTATGAAACGTCTTCTTTTTCTACCTAGAGAGTTGGGGCCCATGTGCTACTTTAGAGGGAGTCCTGCCTCATGGATTCCGGGTTCTGGTTACCATAGCCATAGCTGGGCCTTCTAGAGGCATCCAGTGAAGAAATTCTCTTCCTACTAGCAATAAGTACTAGAATACCCCCTCACCCCACATCCATGGTTCTGCTTTTCTTGGTTTCAGTTACCCACAAGCAATGAATTCCAAAAACTGTATGTACAGTATTTGGAGACAACACATTCACATAACTTTTATTTGAGTACATAGTTCTAATTGTTTTATTATTAGCTACTATTTTTTATAAATTTGTAAGTGAAACTTGATCCACAGGTATATAAGTATAAGAAAAAAATATAATATGGGGTTTGACCCTATCTATCCATGGTTTCTGGTGTCCATGGGGGTCATATTTCCTGCAGATAAGGGAGAACTACTAGAGACAACGGCCCAGAGGCCCAACTACAAAAGGTAAGACCATGTTACTTCCTTGATTTCTTTTTCCCCAGATCAAGCTCTCACACCTCCAAGGACGGGAGTGAATGGTAGATGCTTTAACTCCTTCTTCCCACAAATACTACTTTTAAAATTAAAAGATGTGTGTGTGTGTGTGTGTGTGTGTGAGAGAGAGAGAGAGAGAGAGAGAGAGAGAGAGAGAGAGAGCGCAAGAGAGAGGGAGGAGAGGAGAGACATTAATTAATAGGAAGAAAAAGAGAAAAATGGAGAAGAGGGCTGGATGCTGGGTCTCCCCTGTATAAGTTTGGCACGAGGAAACCTATCCTCTCATCCTGCACAATCTTCCAACATTGTTAGGCAAGCACAGAGCAAAATGCAACTCAAGTTAGTTTCTGGAAGGAGATTGCAGATAGAACCACTAGCTGCTGCCCACACACACCCTTGTCCAGCACTGTCAGACTCTGCTCCCTCTGGGTACAGCAATACTCTGAGGCATCATGGCTCTTCTAGGTATGTACAATGGAGACTTTGTGTCTTTTTGAAGAAGATGGCATCATGAATTCTGCAAAATGCAGGTTTGGAGCAGATGTAGGGAAGCTGGGGGCACGTCCAGTTGGGACTGTGTGTAAAATGATTTCACTTCTGCGAGTATAAACAATTTAATACAACTGGATATTTTTGTAGAATAGAATCCAGAGCGTTTAGTACTCTCAAAGACTGCATCTTTGTGAGGGTCCTAAGAGTTTAGGCAGAAAAACAACATGGTGTTTTGGTGAATGTGGATCCAGGGACAAACAGGTAGAGTCACCGCTGCCCACACCCCTCTGGTCTACACTGCAAGAGCCTCCTTCCAGTTGCCCACACCCAGCCCTGGTCTACACTGTGGGAGCCTGCTCTGACTGCCCCCTACCGGGGCCTCTCAGAGCCAGGTCAAGCCTGAGCATGAGTGTGCTTTTATGGTCTTAATTTCGGAAGGATTTCAAAGATGCTGCAAGACATTTGGAATATCACACACTCATTGTTCAAATTAATTTAATATAAAGAGTAGAACTTACCTTTTTGTTTTGTTAGATAAAGTCTCAAAGTCATCTTGCAGAGTTTTGCATATGTCTTTCCATTGAAGAGACTTCTCATTTAGATATGTGCTGTTTCTTGAAAGAGATTTTTAGAAAAGATTATTTAAAATGAGAGCTTCTAAGATATTGCTAACAAAAATCTGATTTAATTGATAATGTGTGGCCAAAGTAAGTCTGCTTTTCACTCCATTATTGGATTTCTTTGGGGAAAAGGAAATTGATATTTTTACCTGTAACAGGGCTCATTTTTTTTTAATTATGCTATAAAGTCAAACAAAAATAAAAGAACTCTCTATGGAAGACTATATTTTCGGGTTTTCATATTTTGAGGCTAGTATTTTCAGTAAACAAGTTACTGAATAATTTTAATCACTGTATAAGAAACGGCATTTACTTTTTTAAAATGCAGGCACAGGAAGCATCTCAGACACAAAAAGAATACAAGGTACATCTGGGCTTTGATTATTATAATAGTTGTGGCATAAAGGCCGGTTGCTATTGTTTTATGATCTTGGAAAGCTGGAGCTAGAACAAAGCCAAATCAAAAAGCAGACTTTAGACACAGGGTACGGAGTCTGCCCAAAGAGCCTGCCAGTTAACTATGCAGACACCGGTCCCAACTTCTCCAGTGGAATCACAGTACCTACCGCATCAGGTTAGTGTCTTATACAATGAAAAAGCACTTGGTACCCCACCTCAAAAATGCTCAAAAATTTGTGAACTACCACTTCCCTTACACTACAAAAATATACATACAACTCCAACTTATTGCATTTAACCACCCTGAAAATTCTGCTGAGAACCTACTGGGGGCTGGGGGCCAGGCATACACAGGATGCTTCCAGTATGGAGATGGATAAAACAGACACGGTCCCTCTCCGCAGTAGAGCTTGTAGGCTGATTAGAGGGAAGGACACTTACCAAACAAATAACCACTCTAATGAATATGGAAGTTTGAACTATGGTTAGGATTATTAAAACAGCAGGGGACCTTGGAGGAGAGTGAAGAGGAGAATCCTGAGAGGGTCTTAGGGATAGTGTATTTAGGCTGAGATCTCAAGGAAAATGCAAACGAGCTGGATAAACTGAATGGGGTTGGGGAGAGACATTCCAAGCTAAGGCAAGAACCCAGAATTTGTGAGGAATTGAAAGCAGGCAAGTGGGTAAAAGATGAAAAGGTCAGAGGACATTTAGGCAGCACACAGACAGCATGTAGAGCACACACCCCGGAGTCATGCTTGGGATTTATCCTCATAACAAGCGGGGGTTGGGGCAGGAAAGGGAAGTCATGCATTTCATTTTTATGCAGAGACATGAAATGATGGACTTTCCCAGTTGCAGGGTTCCAGGAAAGAGATGATGGCCACTTGCTTAATCAGCCAGCACAGAACAGACTGTGGTGTGAGGACAACAAACACCACCCCACCTACAGTCACTTCACATGAGGAAGCTTTGTCTTTCACTCATGATGCCCACTCTGTGTCTGGTGGCTTGGTGGGGCAGCTGTGTTCCATGCAATACAGGGATCTACACCGACTGGCTCCTAGGGGCCTTCATTCCAGCAATGTGCTTCCCTAGTTGCGTAGCTGGAGAAGATAAGGAGCCCTTACCCTGTACCTTAATTCTTTAACCTAGCCTGAGAGCTCAGGTGACCAAGCTGGTCACAAAGTGGGAGTGAGAAAAGAGCAGCCACCCATGTGCGCAGAGAGAGGAGATGAGAGCAGAGTGCAAGGGAGGGCCGGGTGCTCGGCCCCGCAGAGACGAGTCCATCAGCTGTGTCCATCAGTGTGCAGAGAGGCAGACAGATCTGAGCTATTCTAGAGGTAAGCCTGACAGGACTGCATAATAAATTGGATATGGGAGATGAGGGAGTGGAAGGTAAAGATGGATGGAAAGGTAAAGATACAAATATGACAGATTCATAATTAATCTTGCAGTATTTCTCAGAAGTGCCTTATAAAAGGACTGTGCAAGGAGTGTATCTGGGCTCACGAATTCTCCTCATCTTGGGACTTTTCTCCCCACCCCCATCCCTACTCCCTACCTCTCTCTCCCTCCTTCTGTCTACATGCCTCACCTTCTGCGCTTTCCGAATGTATTATCGTACTTTCCAAGGATTTGTTTATTTCTAATTTGCTGTGTGTTTTATTCAGGCAGCACCATTAATGAAGTAAATTACTGAACCAGCAGTGCTTTGAATTATGATGGCTTTGCAGCATCAACTGGTGAAACTGTGACAAGCTAGCACCAATAGGATTTGGTGTCATATAACTGTTCTTAAATCAGATGGTAGCTTTGTTAATAAAAAGTCAAAACAGTTTTGCCCAAGTAAAATTACAGGAGATGGGGAAGCAAGTGAGAGTCTCTGGGGTCCGGTAACGATGACAGAATAAAGATATGAGGGGAAAATGAGGCCTTAGGCATCAGCAAGGCCAGCCTCTAAGCTGGCCTCCACTTTTTGACCTCAGACTTAACCAGCACTGTCTGAAGCCCAGACCACTCACTCCACACTATGTTTCATCACAGGCCTCACACTTTGTTCTCTACTTCTGACTGCTGGCTGGCGCCATCTTGCAAGTTCTTTCTTGGACCATCCACAGTGTTGGTGTTTCTCACTGTTCTTTTTCTGTTACTTTAACACATTTCCTATTTCCCACAGTGGGCTCGCTCCAGGTCTTACCTTCTCAACCTGCCTGTTTTCTCTGACCATCTCAACCTGTCCCATTGTCTATCTGCATCTTCACCGTCACTACCCCGAGATGGATGTCTTGCATGTGCATTTGATCATGTCACTTCCCTGCTCAAAGACCTCTGTGACCCCACCACGCTCAGAACATGTTCCACACTTCTTGGCTTTACATATATGGCAATCCTGCACCAGGCCCCTGGCCACAGTTCCCGTCCCACTGGCCACTGGTAGTGTACTAAACATTAAATGGAGTCTATTCTTTTTCCATTTCCCTGCAAGTCTTATGTTATGGATTCTAACTGCTTTTATTGTTTAATAATAGGATTTATTTGTTTGATTTTGTCAACTAAGCCTTCAGGCACATTTTTCTCACTTCAGTATGTAGGTATGGGGTGGATGTGGGGGTGGAGATATGGAGGATGATGGGGAGAATCTTTAATAAGATTGGGAGAAAAAAATACAAAAACAAGCATTTTTGTTATCATGTTGTCTATATAGCTGATAAGCTCTGTGGCAATTCTATCTTTATAAAAAAAAAGTCAGGCTTCAGTTGAAAGTGATCACTTTATAAGATCACCTAGCAAGATTTTACAGAATAATGAGAAGCTTAGAGACTACAATTCCTGCAAAACAGTAAAGCGTAAGGCTCTGGGAATGCAAAGAACATCTCTTTAAAGAATAGGTGGTCAATCACTACGAAATAATGTCATCCGTACTTACTGGGCACTCACAAGAACCTCTAGAACACTAAGCTAATGTCACCTTCTAAGAATAACTTGTAATTAGTGCAATCATGCAATCAGTCCCCCAAACAAGAGAAACAGCTCAAAGAATAATCTGCTAGTAGGTGACTAAGGAGTTTCAAGAACAGTCAAATTCTATTGATAGTGGCTATAATGGGGGCAAAACGGAATGTGAGTCTAAATGAAAAACTTAAACCTAATCAATTTTACTCTCTCTGAAGAGTGTTATTTCAAATGGAAAATGTGACCTTGAAACGGAAAGCCTAAAGAATACGAATTTTCCTGAAATCCAAAGAAGAGGAGCTGATGACCTAGGAGCTCACCTCCACTACTAGCAGACACCCCCTGCAGAGGTGTCTAGCATGCATCTAGCATGACAAGAGCAGTATAATGCTACCTGTGCTCGGACTTTCATCAAGGAAGTTTCTAACCATCATGCTCCAACCCCAATACCTTGGATTTTCTGAAGGAAGAAGGCAAGCTTTCCAGACCACTGCTCAGAGTTGATTAATCTACCTGATAAGTTAATATTCTAGCTTATAAATTACCCTTCTCCAAATCTGGTTAACATAAACTTGTCATTGAAGTACCAGTCATATACTTGAACTGACAAATCATATTTTGGTGCCTCAGATCCTGCCTCGTTGTTTAGTCCTTCATTAGGTATCGTGTGGCATCTGTATTATGTGCCCAGAGTGTGGTAGCTATTGAAGATATGACAGAGAACTAGACAGTGTCCCTGCTGCTACAGAACAAAGAGGGTAATAAGGAGGACAGGCAAGTAAACAAACACCACACTGAGCCTGCAGGATGAATGCTGGCTATCTTCCATAATCATATTAATTTCATGAAACCATGACTCTGTGCTTTGGTGGGTGTCATTTAATTCAAAGCATAGGGACTGCTTTTAAAATGACCATATGCCCTCCCTGGTGGCACAACACCTAAGGATGCAGCACTGCAAGCTAGCCACAGCTGTTTTGATGCAAGTTCGATTCCCGCCCAGCCCAGAGGTGATCACGTGGTGCAGCAGACTTCTCCAGACCTGCCCACTGCTCTCTTCAGCAGTGTACTTTGTCAATCTGCATGTTCTGCTCCTCACTTGTCTCTGGTGAATCCATCACCACCCCTACACCTCTGGCTTATACCCCATTTCTGTATGCATAAATAAATAAACCTTCAAAATTAATAACAAAATGACTAGAGAACTTTACTCTTTTACACATGAACACTGAAGTGAAGTTACACTACAAACATTTCTGCAAATACTTGGTTTTACCTTAACTTTTACCTGCCTTTGGTTACCCTTGACAAAGTTTAGTTATCTAGCTCTTGACTACTAAATCAATTACCATTCTACATTATGGCCTCCCTACCATTGTTGGCAGTTTTCAAAAATATGAAAGAATAAATCTTATACAGGTAGGAAATGAACACATTAAAAGATTTGATTTATTCATCATGTGGGAACCAGTTCAAAGAAAAATCCAAAACACAGCCACATTTCTAGATCACGAATATTGAGACCAATGGAGCCAATTGGGTGGTGGTGGGGAACCTGGGCAGAGAAGTAAATTGGACTCTATCAAATAGGACATAATTTGCATATTTATGAACAAAATTATTTTGCATTGCTC